TCGGGCTGGCAACCGATGGGTGGGTCATGCTCGGTGATGAGGGGGCTTCGATTGAAGACGGCGGTGGCGGTATTGCCGGCTGAAGCGGTGCCGGCTTCTGCTTCGGCGGTATTGGTGCAGGTGCGGGCGCAGCTTGTGGCAGCGGTTGTTGTACCGCCGCGGAGTATCGTATCGGCGGGAGGGTAGCTGGCGGTCGAGGAGCAGCGGGCTTCAGGATGCTCGCCATTGGCTGGGCGGCAAAGTTCGGCGGTGGTTTTGCTGGAGAAACTTTCAGGTCAGTTATGGATACATATTGTTGATTGGGAGGACAAACGCGCCATCTGACGGTTCTGGAAGCATTCAGGAACTAAGGGAGAGAAATGTAACATAAACAACGCACTTCTTAGCTGCACTACGGTCGGCTTCTTCAGTATCGGGCTTTCGGCACGCTTGGTATTGTCTTCCGAAGCTTTCTTTACCGGTGCTCGAGGGAGGAGCTCTGGCCCTGAGTGAGAAGACGCCGGAAATAAAGTAGCAAGAGGACCTTCCATGGCAACGTCGGATTCATCGCCGCTCTCGTGATCATCCAAACCGACGCGGAATCTCTCCTCTTCCTCGTCGAGGTTGAGGTCATCGTAAATTCCCTCGTATTCTGTAAAGTCCTCTTCCTAATAGCGGTCATGCGTAGCTCGGGAAGAGATGAAACCACGAACCGCATTAGTTTCTACGAAGTAATGAACGTCCTCTTTGAGCGCGAGGACTTTCTCCGTCTCCAAAGACCCATTATTGAGCATTCGTAGGACGATCTCTAGGCGGCTGATATGCCATTTCCGTCGGCCGTTCAGATGCTCAAGTTCGTCGAGCCGTCCGGCAGCAGTAGACCCCGCCTTGAATTTCTTCTTTGCAGCGCCTTGTATGGATTCAATTTCTGCTTCGGCCTGTTCTACTTGTATCTGAAGTTTCTCAAGCTGCGAATCAAGCCAATCGACCGCCTCGAGCATTTCTTGCTCCTTGGGATCGAGCTTGACGGCTTCACCAAGTGCGACATTTGAAAACGCCTTCTTCTTGACCTCCTTCTCGCAAGCTTTAAATTTCTCCATTTGCTGACCGCCCAAGGTCAGTTCACGAGTCCCAGCAAAAATAGGACTGCCACGTACTGTCTCAATGAGTTGCCGATTCTCCAATAGTCGCGTCTTGTCCTTAATGTCACTGTTCGCGACCCAGGCTCTGATTTGGTCTCGATGCCGCTGGAGTTTCTTAATTTGATTCTTGAGCGCTGCCTCAAGTTTCTCTTTCTGGAGAAGAAGGCGTTAAGATGTGCCACTTGCACCGTTGATAAACCTGCCTGTGATTGGTTGGTGGAGGCCTGCATCTTGTCATACGTGCTCTCGAAGAGTTCTACGCCTTCCGCAACTTTCTTCAACGCCTGGTCGATCTCGGCTAGACGCGTCTTTAGTCTCACATAGTACACGCGTCCTTGAGACATACTCTGTAGTTTTCTTGCCGCCATGATTGCGAGACGGCGCGACTGGCTTGAAAGACAAAGTGTGTTACACTGCCACTGTATGAGATCACCGAGGATCGGTCACCTGATTCACACGGCCTCGTGATCTCGGCAAACGCCGCTCGCCTAACCAAAACGCGCCGCGCATCCGGTCATCAAACAAGAACCTTTGGGCAGATTCCGGGAAGCCTTCAAGGTAAAAATTTCTTTTGACGACTCTGTTTAAATGGCCACTCAACGTCCTTTGTGCTTGAATTTCGTTGTTCACTATTGTCCAAATCTGAACCACATCTGAAGAGCATTTACAGGTTCTCAAGCTCCCTTTAAATTTCAAGCACGATAGTATAGAATTCACAAAACTCACCTTCCCGCGAGTTTCAGGTCGATGTTCTGCCCACTGTAAACCAGGCGGATGATTCGAAAAAATAACTCGCCTCATCTCGCGACTTGAGTTGAAGCTAGGATCCGCTATGCACAATTTCCGCCGAGGAATTTCGTGATGGAGAAAGCCTGTGCTTTAGCTCTTGCCTCTTTTAGAGCCGGCGTCCTCTTTGCTTTCTGTGTGGTTAACACCGACTCTGAGCCGGAGCCTCTCCATACGGCCGGTAACAAAATAACCCTTGCTCATGCTATTGATATTATTGACAGCTACGTTTAACTCTCGCAGGCTAAGCACTTCAACAGCTCACCAGCCTTCAGGATTAAATTTGCCCCATCTCCTGCGGCATTAATCGCTCTCGGAGTTTACAGTAGCAACCCAGCGCGTTTTTTTTGACTTGCACTATTTCAACTCTCTTTCCCATCCACTCCTAGGATACGTGTATTGACTTGTTACTGCGCACGTAGCCTATTTTACTTCCTGGTCAGCGGGCAGTGAACCAGGGTTATTTAAGGGGGCGAACATGAGAGAGTTGATTTTCCTTACGTTGCGCGCGCTTTTTTTTGTTTGGCTTGCTTGCACTATTTCGACTCTCTTTCCCATCCACTCATTGACTTCACTTGTTACTGCGCGCGTATCCTGCCTATTTTCTTGCCTGATTGGCGGGTAGTGAACCAGGGTTATCTAAAGGGCGAACATGAGAGAGCTGATTTTCCTTACGTTGCGCGCGTTTTTTTTTTTTTCGGCTTGCACTATTTCGACTCTCTTTCCCATCCACTCCTAAGATACGTGTCTTGACTTGTTGCTGCGCGCGTATCCTATTTTTTGCCTGGTCAGCGGGCAGTGAATCAGAGGCGAACATGAGAGAGTCGATTTCCCTCGCATTGACCGAACGTCCGTTCTTGTTTCGATTTCTGAAATCGTTCTACACCCATATCGGAAACCATTCAATGACTTGTCTCAGTATGTAGCATACGATTCACCTTTCCGTTCGAGTTCGCGCTGTCGAGAAAAACGGAAACAATGACGTGAAGTCAAACGACCAAGAATACAGTACCGGAGATCCAAAGTCAACGATTGGATCCCAAGTCCAAGTCCCGAGGCATCTCAAAAGGTTTCAATCACAGAAAGAATCAACAGAAGAGATAAAGACGTCCCAGACGAGATGGACCAGGGTTCCCTGGGCTCATTAAATTCAGTCTCCCACGCTCCGAGTCCAGTTCGGAGGGAGGTGGACTTAGAGCGGCGGCGGAGTAACTAAAGATGGGCTTGGCCTATTCTCAGTTACCCATGAGAGGGCTCGGCACCGCCCACGAATACAAATGTCTGTTATTAGCACGAAGTGCTTGCCTTCGGGGCACCAGGCATTGGCAACCATCGACGCAGAATTGTCGCGCCACACGACTATACCGTAGCTGGAGGAATTGTTCTGATCCGTCGTGAGATTGGGGCACGAAGTTCTGCTGGGGCGCGGGAGTAGATCTGTATAGACCTTCGGATGTGCAACGCGAGGCTAGCCTGTCTTTAGAGATGGCGCCAAGAAAAACCTAGACTCTTAAACAGACTGGGAGCGACAAGCGAGTGGTCGTGGGAGGAGAGACCAAGTGGTCTAAATGAGGCATCTATAATCTGTTCAAAGGCAAACAAAAAGGTATTGGAGATGTAGCAGAGGCTCACCTGTTTAAATTATCACAATAGCATGCATTCACGGGTGGTATATATACGGTGAACCACCCAGGACCGGCGGCGTGGCGGGTACATATCCGAAATCGTTATCATCAGCTACACATGATTGAAAGCGAGAAGCCAAAGCCTAGATCCAATAGAACGATGAGCTAAAACAAGGCTGGGAATAGATGCACACGAATGCGATGCAGACGAGAAGATTAAGTGCCTAGATTGGCCCGCCGCCCCGATCTGTGGTAAGTTCAACTGGGAGATTCCGACTGACGTTGATTTTTCCAATTACAGCTTTCGACGATCCCTGCTTATGGTAAGTTAAACTGCCACTCGTGGGAGATTCAGACTCTAATCTCAGCTTTCGACGAGGCCTGAGATAGGTAGGCCAGGAAGAAGCGGCAGTTCCCGAAACCTGGTCGTTCTATGTAACTTCTGGTACCTTAGAATTGAGTGTAGTTACCCTGGACGGCATGAAGCGTCCGTGGAACGATGAGAACAGAAGGGCAATGTCAACCTCGACTTATCTTTGAAATTGAGGGGAGTCTTTTCTAAAAGAAATGCACAAATACCGTTAGTCGAGTCGCAAGTATTCATATTGAAGATACGCACTGCTCGCAAAAAATCTGGTGCGCCGATACGCGCCCCTTGTGTGGAGAAATCAGATATTTACCTTTCTAAAAAAGCAGTGATGCTACCGCCAGTGTCGGAATCGGCGGGAGCTTGAGGAAACATAAATTAGCACTATATCCTCATTGATAACGCTTGACGCTTACCTGCGCCTATCTTTACATATGCACGGCCGCCGAAACCAAAGAAGTATCCTGAAACATGGTTCTCCTGCACCGATTCGCGTCATCAGCTAGGAATCTTCACTCACTGAAAACACCCCCCAAAAATTACCCAGTCTGTCATACCAGATTATCCACGTCCGTTCTGCGCGCACAGCACCCAGCGCATCAACGCATCCACGCTGACAGAGGATGGACAGTGTGTCTTCGAAGATGTGTACCCACGTCGGTCGAGAACATTCTCTCCGCTGATATTTCTCACCGGAACCTCTCGCAAAACTCGAGAATCAATGGGTTGATTCTTGCGCGTCGGCGAGCACGACGAACGTTCGTCGCAGAGTTGCTATGTACCTCTATGTCTCTATGTTAGTATGTACTTATCGCAAGACAGCGACAGATGGAACAGGTCGCGGTCGCCTGATGTTGCGGGCCTGCAGCACAGTGGGAAAGTAAGTAGGGAAGTGCCGTAGATATGAGAATTTCCGCGGGTACTTGAAGCGCTTTGGTGTTCCACGAACACCACCGGCGGGAGCAAATTTATAGAGGAAAGCATCATGGCGGACTTTTGGACTGGACTCGGAATTTTTGAAAAATGATTGCCAGACGTGCTTTATCAAAGAGTGGCACACGGAGTGGCTATATACCTCTTCATACAACATGGGACAGAGTGTCTTGACTAGTATATCGGTTCAGTACACCCGCTTGTCATGATTATCAATGATTTCGCCTTTCGCGGGAGAGCAGGGTTCGACTCCCTGGTCGAGAGTTCTTTTTGAGGCTTTTTTGTTTTTTTGATTGCTGTCATCTCCTTTGTCGACCCACCTTTACTAACCTTGGTCTTCCGAGAGTCTGGTCGATGCAGAACACCGGCCGAATCCGGCGAGGAGCCGCGAATGCTGTGATGCCACCTATGTAGCCGCGCTGAGGCTGGCCCTTGGCTAATTCCCAGTTATCCATGCTCGTAACCACCGAAACCTGCAGACACCGATTATCATACAATTCCGTGGCGTCTGACTACACCACCGATTTGCGGGGAGCTCAAAATGACGTCCCGGATCTGATCTTATATGATCTAGCCACTGATCTCCCAGGATAATCGGCCGACAATCCTTGAACAGCCGAATCTATATAGCTGGACAGTCGCCGGACACCCCTCCTCGACACATCCTTTCTGCAACCTCCGCAGGATGTCACGGACTGATATTCCAGGTACATGCTGAGGGCCTATTACTGAGACCTCCCAGTTGTCTTGCTGATGGCCCCAAAAAAATAAAAATAAAATATCAATTGTCATTTTTATCATGCTACATACACAACACATGCTGGTACACAATTATTAAAGAGAGAAAAAGGGGAGGCAGAAGGGCGCGGACACACGGGCACGGCATATTACCTAACGATGGAACGATGACAAGGGGGTGGATGACAGGATGGATATCATGAGCAGTGGCGGCATGCAGATCAGACGGCGCAGTCTTCGGATCGGAAAGTAAAACTTGAAGGGCGAGACGAGGAGCCGAGCGGCGATGCTCATGTGGGCGACGGCGCATTACGGGAGAGCTCAGAGAAAAATGGCTTGAGAGGTTGCAAGGGGTTTGAGGGTGTTGAGGGTGTTGAGGCCTTGGATAGCTTTGAGGGCATTGATATTACAACGGGAGGACGAGAGGCAGAACGGAGGTGAGAGCGGGAAGGGAAGAACATGGCGCCACTTTTTTTGAGAAAATTTGGTCTTGTTATGACAGGAGCGGAGCTTGAATCACTTGTCGTTTTTCGGAAATCTCGCAAGTCGCCGACACCCGAAATCTCATTTTCTCAAATTTAAGCACTTTCTTGAGGCATCCAATATAAATATGCACTGGCAGAGTTCTCCGACATGGGGGATGACAGGGGACGGTGCTTGTAGATTATTTGCAGAATTACATAAGGTCAGGCAGAATAGTTGGGGGATGTCCAGGATCGGACCTCCCAGAACATCCACAACGGCTCCTGGGACTGTCCAACACGATGTTCTGGCGATGTCTCCGAACCGAGCTCCATGGAACATTCACAGCCCGACCTCCAAGCGCGGTCAACCGTCAGATCTCTAAATCACATCAAACCAAATTGGTGGTGTACGGGAGACTAATCGAAATCCTTGATCTTAACGCCATCTGGCGCGAAAGTGAGAACGCTTCTCATTCTGTTTCTGGTCCGGCAGCCTGGCGACTTTACAAGTTATACCGCAAACCGCGATATCCCGTAGTGATGTTCTGGCTTTGGCTTTGGCTTTTTGGCTTTGGCTTGGCCTCGGAAAATCTCAAGCCAGGCCAGGGCCAAACCTTTGGCTTTGGCCTGGCTTTGGCTTGGCTTGGCCTGAGCCATGGCTTTTGTTAGGGAAAACAGCTTGAATTTGGCTTTGGCCCGGATAAATCCCAGGCCAGGCCAAAGCCAACCCCAGCCAAAGCCAGAACAAGCCAAAGCCAAGCCAAAAAGCCATGGCTTTTTGGCCTGAGGCCAAAGCCAGAACATCACTAAATTATCCCGACATTCGCCATATCGTCGCCGCTCTTCCCAGCGCATCTGTGGTCTCTGAAACCCGCCAGAAGCACGGGCGCGCGAAGCCTCTGCTGGCAATCGATCGATGGGCATCGCCTCCGCCACCGCCTGGACCAGGACCGGACGACGGACTTGCCTCTTCGAACCTTCCCCGCTGACATATCTACTCATCTGCCTGTCTGGGACACGTCCACCAGCACGACTTCTACTTCTGCTGTCGTTGCACTGAATTACATCTGGAATATGTACCCGCGGCTAGATTGAGCGGCGGCGGATGGTCTCTGTGGCAGGCTCTATCATCGGCTAACCATACATGTATCCCGCCTCTCTCTTTCAAATTTGACGCCACCAACTGTGATATCCTGCCTCGTGGACGAGATTTTGCAATTTCGCTGCATCTGAACCCGGCACTTGGCGACGCAGATTCCCTGCCTACAACCGCTTCCCCTGGCGTCCTTCTTACCGTCCCTTCCCCCCCACCCACTCCACCCAATTTGCTGACTTGCCAAATGTTCTCGGAAATTCTGACCACACGAATACATTGTCGGCAGCGTTGTCCCGGTCCACCGCATGTTCTCGAAGGCACGCGCCCGCTATGATCAACAAAATAACACTCAGCTGTAAGTTAGCCTCCGCGGGTGAGTTTAGGCATTTTCTTGTGTTTTTTCTCCCATAATTCACGGCACAGAGACCAAACTAGCTCACGGCCCGGTGCAGAACATTCAACAAGGATGTGTTCCATCGTTTCGTCTACTTGACAGGTCGGGCATTTTGCGCGGTGCTCATATGTTGGGAGGTTAAGCCAGTAAGTTCCGCACTTATATGATTGGTGGAGGCATCTCCAGTAAAAATCCCTGATGGTGCGGGTAATATCTTTATTTCGAATTGATTTCCAGATTTCCTCATCTGAGGGTGTTTTACCACTCTGCTCTTTAACAGCGTAACGGGTTATATCCAGCATTATTCGGGTTTTTACGCGGTCAACTCTCGGTCTTGTTTCTCTGATTGCATGGTAAAAGGTGGCTTGACTGGTATTTGCCATGCTCACACCCTGCACTTGGTATCTGCGGGGCACTTCAGTGCGAAGGTCATCAGCATCAATAGTGTTTTCAGGTGGGTAGTCAGAAATGGCATTTTTTGCGAGCTCAATCGCAAATTGAATTTTTCCAGCATCTCCGTCTGCTCCAGTTTCGCAGAAGGTACTCCGTGTTCCTCTTACTCGGAGAGCAGCAACAATCGTCGATATCAAGGTCTTATCTCTGTCCCCAGTCCATCCCGAGGATTCCAAAGACGGTACATCTATTGTAAGTTTGCGCACAAGGTATTTTGAATTTAATCGAAAGTTTAGCACAACATTTTCCGATGTAGTCTGGATTACATGTAGAATTGCAGCTAGTTCGCCACTGTTCCGAGTCATCAAGTTAAAGGGTACCCCGACAGGTTTGTTTTTCGGGTCGTCTGGTGCAAACCATACGCCTCCGCCGCTTTGGTACTCGCCGTCCCACCACAGAGGGTTCTCTTTCGAGGCCCACCTCTTCCCCATGGACACGTAGGCCCCCCATCTTTGCCTTTAAGGGTCTTATTTTTGCCCTGGCAGTGGGAATTCGTCGGGTAAGAGTCAGCAGGAATCAACTTAAGCCTGTACACCGTTTCAGATGCACAAACCGACAGAGGATTTAGTACTCTCCAGCCATGTGGGGCTACTAACCTCCACACGCCACGGCCCGCCACCCACCGACTCTAGGGCAGTTTCCCGTTGCCTCCCTGGCTGCTTCGTTTGAGGACTGGCACCTCGTACGGATCCGCATCCATGGAGACTCTCTGTCTTGCCGCCGAGACGACTAACCACCGCGCACATGGAGCGAACAAGGTGCGAGGCGTGGGGTGCCCTGAGACCTGCCGGTCCATTCGGGTGGTTTTGATAAGCAGTCCCCCATCTTATTTTCGCCTATCCACAAGGGACCCTGCACGGGGTTTGGCAAAAAATAGTTTTAGGTCATTTCGGACTGCCAAGATGAGCTGTGGCTGAGTCGCCACATGCGAACCTGCTTTACCAAGGCAGGACTCAACAGCATAGTTTTAACGTCATTTCGGAACGTGGAGCGTGGCACAGACCAACATCACTCCCCCAGAATTGAACCAGAGGGGACTCCATTAAAACATCGGGCAGTTCAGTAACCTCAGGATCTCCTGGCGAGTTATTGTCACGCCTGACAAGGTCATTCACAAAATTCAGCCTGTCAAGCTCTGCCCGGCGAGCCCGCCACCAAGTCGTAACCCTACCCCGGACATTACTGAGCAGGACAGAACAATGGTTGACCAGAAACCGCTGCCACCCCGAAAAAAATGCTCAAGGCATTCTGTACGGCGCGGGATGTCGATCGTTTTTAATGTCGACACATGTAAAACAGCGGGAAGCACCAGTGTGAGACAAGTCTCTCCTGATGGAGCAGGTGAGATGCCGACCAGCGAGATGAGCCCAGAGATAAGGCCTGTTCGGCAGCTGGACTCGAGAGACACCCAGAAGCTTAGTTTTCGGTCTTTTCGGACACAATCCCGAGTGACGTCGTGGTCGGTTACTGAATGCCCGAGCACCGAGAGTCGTGTGACGCGTCCCATCAAACACAGCCTCGGAGAGAGTAGGCCAGCGACGTAGCAAGAGACGGCGGAGCCCCAGCGCAAGCAGCAGGAAGTAGGTCAAGAGAGAGGGACTAGAGAGTCCTGTGTGGTAGCTTGACCAGACTTTTCGAAGACCCGGGCCGAAACCATCGAGAACATCAGAGGCCGAGCCGTCGACGAAAACGATGGTGGTGGTACGGATCAAAGAAGCTCCCTACTCACACTCACCCTCGGAATGATCCTTGGTTGCGGTCTAGCTCAGTTCAAAAACCGCAAGGGAAAAATCATGGATGAAGCACGAAGACTATTCATGATACTAGTCTCTGAATCTGCCTATATGATTTGGAAAATACGAAATGAGCGAGTCATTGGCGGTAACCAACACTCCAAAATCGAAATTCGGAATAGATGGGTTAGCTGTATAAACATGCGTCTTAAAATGGACCAACTATTGACTGACACCTCGCGATACGGAAACCGGGCCCTAAATATTAGACAAGTCGTGCGAACGTGGGATGGTGTCCTCATGGACAATAATAATCTGCCTGAAAACTGGATCAGGCAGTCTGGAGTTTTAGTGGGTATAGGTGTTCTCCGTCCTCCGGGACGGAA